CGGCCGACATGAGCTCGGCGCTGGAGCTCCGAGGGACTGGCTGTGCAGGTAGGCGGCGGGTACTGCGGGGGCGCGCGGGCAAGAGTGGGGGACGCGGGCTCCTCTGGCTTTGCTGGGCGGCCGGAAGAAGTTGAGAGTCTTGGAGGGAAGCGCCCAGCTTCCCTGGGGACAGCTTAGCTTCGGAGCTCAGAAAAACAGCTCGGGGACCTTGCCGCCGCCTCCTTGCGGTCCTGGTTGGCGGCGCCCGGCGCTGGGGCGTGCCCCGGCCGTCTTTGTCTCTGGCGCTGATCTCTTTCCCGGCGTCGGGGTATTTAAACTTTAAAAGGCCGGCCTGGTGGGTCCTGGCGTCTCCTGCACCTGGTCATAGTAAAAGCTGATTTGGGGCGGTTGTATCTCGTTTCGTTTTCCCACTTCTAAGTAAAAAGTGGTTGCATGCGGTAACAGTGGAGCGTGACGGGCCTGCGGGAGTGCCGGGGCAGAGGCTTGCCGGCACCGGACCTGGAGACAGAAGCCGGGCCCTCCGCCGCTGCACAGCCCGCGTGGCTCGTGTGCGTCCGGGAAACCTGCAGCTATTCGTGAATTTGAGTTAAAGCCGCAACAACTTTTCTCTACAAAATAATCAACTCCTAAACGCATGCTTTAGCACGTTCTTCCCTCTCACTTGCTAATTATATTACTGGTAAGGTTTAGAAACTCTGAGGCCGGCCATGGGGCGTGGGGAGGGAAAGCGACGGCGGGGGAGGGGGTTTCGAAGCGCTAGCAGTCGAGGGAGAATGCGTTCATTTCAGAGCTTTTTATACTTTGCTGCAGAAAACAAGCCTTGCTCCCCGGGGCAAGTTGTAGAAGTCTCCATGGGTCGTTCAGGAAATGACTTTGCCCTGGACAACAGGCAGCGCACTGTCTGTCTGGTGGCCGTTTCCCCTTCGGAACCCGTGTGAGAGGGGGGAAGCCTTGCAGGGACTACGAGTCACCGCACACCCCCCTCCGTTGTTTTCATCACAGTCCTTTTCCTGCTTGCTCCCTTCCTTTTCTTTCTCCAACCCACCCCTTTTCCAGGGTATTCCAGGCCTGATATGAGTCACTTAATACAGGATTATTAAACAAATTGTTGATAGTCAATGTAGCTAGATTTTCATAAATACTGCAATGAATGAAGACAATGACAGTAGATACAGAAGTTTGGAGAAATGAACACTTAGTTTAAAAAGGTTTCTGGTCTCTGGTGGGAGCGGTTTTAGCATGGTGACCCGGAGTCCAGAGACTGGAGTCTACGGGCAGAATCTCTTTCAGCCCCAGTTCCATGACACAGACCTTGGACAAGCCTCTGGCACTTTCCCTACCTCAGGAGTGTGGAGTAGAGTGAGATAAAATTATCTAAAGTACCACGCCATCCACAGATGGTAGCCTGAGGCATTATTATTATCATTTCCTACATTATGTGGAGGAAAAGGGAGTGATTGGTTGGTTTTGTAAAAATTAACTGGTTTAAGGAGCAAAGGTGGTGGTTGCATTATGGTGGAAAGATTGCTTAAATCCGAGGCCAGAAGTGAGAAGTCAAGAGTCAGGTTTAATAACGGAGTTATTTTTGATAAGTAGATTACAAATGAACAGGAGTTTATAAATCCTTATATAAGGATAATATATTATATATGTTATATAGGCTATCTCCCTCATTAAGATTTTTTTTTTAATGGAGATACTGGGGAACCAGGACCTCAGGCATGCATGCTCTCCACCACTTAGCTATTAACCACCCCTACCCTGCCAATTAAATGTTTTCTTCATGTCAACAAAGCTCTGTAACCTCTTAGCTAGTTTCTTTGTATTCATGATGACACTCCTTAAAGCACACCCTTCCTGAAAGCTTATCTGCTGGGTGCCTACAGTTTAAAGTGACCACGACAGAGTCACAGGTTATTTTCTCTGAAAGTTGGGGAAAATTTGTCAGCTCCAGAAGAGTATTGGAACTGCAGTTTCTGTCCGTCTCCATAGCTTTCTCTTCCGATTCAGCAAATTGCTTAGAACAGAATGGTCAGTAATTGGTATTACAGGATACAGCCTGCCTTATTTGTATTAAGTGAAGGTTAGAAGCTGCGAGGACCAGAGCCCAGTTTCTTTCTGCATCCATCGTATTAACAGTAACAGCAAAAAAAAAAAAAACAAAAAAAAAAACAACTTTAAAAAAATGCCTCACTGAGATTGTCGTATCTGTTAACTTTGAAACTGAATGTCATTTAAAACAGATTAATCTTGAGCTACTTAAAATTAGCTGTCTTTCCAAAATCTATAAGCTGGGGGCAATATTTGAGACAACCCAAATGCACTACTTAAATTCCACCCAGCTGGGAGAACTGTGAAGCTCCTTCCTCAGACTATGAGAAAGGAACTGTGAAGACCCAATTAAGTGTACGTCTCCAGTGCTTCCACCATCAAGAACTTGAATTAGTTTGGTGACAGGCTATTGGGCACAGCTTCCGCCGGGTACACTTGAAGCTGCCTCAAGCTCACTAGCCAGTATGGTGCAAAGGCTGCAAAAAGTGAACTGCTGGGTCTCCTGCTACTTTGGGCATCGCAAAAGAGACGTGCTTTCCAACCCTTGCGGATTCTTGAGAGGTGAAGGTGATTGGCTTTCAGATATGGATATAATGTGTCTAGTTTGAGTGATTCTGTTTCTTTATTGCATAGTTGGTTTAATGATAAGGAAGAATGTTATTAAAAGGAGGTAGATCTTGGAATGCTTTTGTCAATGGAAGGAGAGAAATCCCTGCACTGCCGCAGTGGAGCAGCATGGGGAGTTGGAAGTAACCTCTGTAGGCAAGTTCTGCGATGAGTGTTCAGGGAAGAGCAGTTTGTGGAGTAGGAAGAATCCCAGTTAGAACAGCGTGTGTGTAGGAAGTAACCCCAGGAGGAACAGTGAACAGTGTGTGGAATAAGAATTATCCTCAGTGGAGCATCGTGAGTAGGAAGTATCCCGGGAGAGCAGTGTGTGGACTAGGTTACCCTGGTGTGTCGGTGTGTGTTGTAGTGCTACCGGTGAATGTAACTGGTGTTCCAGGTTCTTGTCCCATCCCAGAAAGAATTCAGAAATGATGTGGTGGTTAAAAAAATAAAGTGGGAATTTATTGAAGGATGGATAGTACACTCAAGGGGAGAATGGGCAGGCTCAGGTGAGTGGCTGCTCTGGGTTTCTTTGGCAAGTTGGTTAGATAGGGTGTAAAAATTAGTGGGCGGAATATTCATTGGGGAGGGAAGGGCCTGGGGTCATATTCCCTGATTTTCATCTCAACTCCACCTTCCCAAAGGGAGAAGGGATTTTTGTCCTTATTTAGTCTGGATCAGAAGTGTCAAGGTGCATCAGTGCATGATGGGTACTTCTAATCTGCAAAGCTAATTTTATTGAAATGAGGGCATAACGAGCAAAAGGTTAACATTCGGACACTGGAGATTCCTGCCTTTTCCCACCTTTCTTTGTTGTCCTCGAGCCACTTACCACCCCCAGAGATGTGACCACTTATCAGCCCAGAGGTTCCTGCTTTTCTTTCTCTGCCAGGGACCCCTGGTGCTTACATGATGTCTAGTTTCCTGCATTTGGCCTGTGCCCCTCCTTTCTGCCCATTTACTGCCCTTTGGTCTGTGTCCCCTTTCTCTGCTCATATCTAGCTCTCCTCCTGCTCTAACAGTAGGAAGTGTTCCGGGTAGAGGGGTTAATGGGATAGGAGTCATCCGGGGTAGAGCAGTATGTAGAGTAGGAAGTAAACCTGGGAGAGCTGTGTGCTCAGTAGGACAGTGTCCCTGAGTAGAGGAGAGTCTTCCTAGGAAGTGTCCTCCACTGAGCGGTGTAGGAGGTGTCCCAGGGGACCGTGTGCGGAGTGGGACGGATCCCCGTGGAGCAGCATGTGGGGTGGGAAGTATCCTTGGTGAGCATCGTGTGTGATAGGGAGGTGTCCCCGGGCACAGCACTGTCTAGTAGGAGGTGTCCAGGTAAAGGGGTGTCCTTGGGTAGAGCCCTGTCTTAGTAAGACGTACTTCACATAGAGCAGTGTGAGGTCGAAGTACCCACATAGGACACTGGAGGGAGCGAGGGCCCGGGGAGAGCAGAGGGTGCAGTAGGAAGCATCTCGGGTAGAGTGGTGTGTGGAGTAGGAAGGAGAGGAGGTATCCGTCGGGGAGCAGTGAGGAAGGAGGAAGTGTCACCGGTGGAACAGGTGCGGAGAAGGACGTGTCCTCCGTGGAGCAGTGTGTGGAACAGAAAGAATTCCGGGGAAGCTAATGTGTAGGGTCGGGAGAGGGGGATGAACCCCTGGTAGAGCGCTGTGTGGAGTAGGAAGGAACCGTGTAGAACGGGGCGAGGAGGAGGAGGTGTTCTGGGCGTGACAGTGTGGAACAGGAAGTATCCCCGGTAGAGCGCTGTGTTCACCAGGTCAGTATCCCGAGTAGGGGTGTGCCTTACTAGGAAGCATGACCTGTGCAGCAGTGAGTAGGAAGGACCTCTGGTATCAAGCGTGTGGAGTAAGTGCTGTCCCTGGTAGGACAGTGTGTGCAGCAGGGAGTCTCCGGGTAGAGCAGTGCTTGGTAGGACGTACCCCCTCGTAAAGCAGGGTGTGGAGGAGGAAGCGTCTCTGGTAGAGCAGCGTGTGGAGTAGCACAGAAACCTGGGAGAGTGCGGAAGATCCATTAGAGATGCTGCCTTTGACTCTTCGTCTTGGGTGTGAGTAAAAATCACCTAGTTAAAAATGCAGATTGCCACCTCTCCCAGGATTCTGGTTCTGTAAGTCTGGGTTAGGATCAAGGAATCTGCATTTTATCGTCCAGTCCAGGAATTGATGCAAAAGGTTAAGAAAACTGATGGGGGGGGGGCCCATTGGACAGGGGGAGGGGAATGCCTTTGTGGGGTCTTGGCTGGGTCTGAATGCTGGGTGGATTTCAGGGGGAACAGGCTGAGAGTGACTGGTAAAGGGCACTTGGTTGAACTCCCCATCTCATCTCACCCTCCCTCCCTGGGTGGATTTTTGCCAGTGAGGAGACGTGAGGTTCAAACAATCAGGTGTGAGGAAGACTCCAAGAAGAGAGAACACGGCCCCTTGGCTCGGAGACAATGGGTAGGAGTCCACCCTTGGGGTCCATCGTGCTTCCTTCAAAGACCTCAAGTGAGAGGTGCATCTTGCTGTACTCTGAATATTTCTGTTTATTCATTATCTTCTCTCCCCTCCCCTCTAAGCTGTGAAGTTTATCAGGTAAAACCATATTCAAGAGCATATGGGCCCTTATTGTAGAAGATGCTAGATTCATTGTGGTGTCCAGTACTGAAGCCAATGGCCACATGTGGTTATTATTTTTTATTGAGTTATAGTCAGTTTACAATGTTGTGACACATGTGGTTATTTAAATTAAAATAGAAATAAATTAAAAATTCAGTTCCCAAGTTGTACTAGCCACATTTCCAGTGCTCAAGACCACATGTGGCCAGTGGCTCTGGTATAGGGAATTCTGTCATTCCAGAAAGTTCTATTGCACAGTATTGTTCCAGGAAGTAGAGAGGGATTCAATTCAGTGAGAGGCTGACTTGGGGATGAGCAAGTCTGATTGCAGGTTGGGAGCAGAGGGTCCCCTTATAGGGTCATGAGTGCACATGTCATTCATGAGATGAAAATCTGAAACTTTGCCCCTTCCCTTCCTCCATCAAATGTCCACCTCTGCCAGGCAGCCAGGTATTCCAGTAATAACTACATACTGTATTCAGTTCTCCTCTTTAATTTAATTCCTTCACTCAGAGAATATTTGCAAAAGCGTTTTCTACAAAATAAAGCAATTTCATACTTCATTTGCCCTCTGTGATCACACAGCTATGTTTGTTACTCTAGGTGTATTTTGCAATGAATGTATTTCAGTAATATTTTCTCCATTTCTCTTTATAATGTACTTTGCTATTTTGCAGGTAAAGAGTTAGGGATGAGAAAGAACTGAGCTGTTAATTTATGGTTGGTTTATTTATTATTATTCCTTCTTCCTTACCTCTTCTCACAAACTTTGACCTTTAAACTAACCAAAACAGAAAGGGTATTATGGGAGTCAAGGTGGCTAGGAGTTCCTAACATGTTTTAAAATCATGAGTCAAAAAGTAAGTTAATTAATAAACAGCAACTTTTTTTTTAACAGGTGAAGAACAAAACATGACAGAAACGGACGCCTTCCCCAAGAGGTAAAAATATGCTCTTTTCCAATAAAGGTCTTTTCCTTTGGTGGTCATGATCAGCCTACAGCAGTTAAAGCAAGAAAGGGTCCTGGGAGCTAGATCAGGTGTTAGCAATGGGAGAATTGCTCTGTAGATGTGCTGCCCTGGTTGTGAAGGGACCTAGACTGATAATCAGCCAGGCCCAGGCCCGGGAGCTAGGGCTGGGGCCTGGGTAGGGCTGACGTCCTTGGTTGCTGGATCCTGGAGACCTAGAGGAAAGACACCAGGCAGAGGGACTGGGGAGGAGCGCCCAGCACTGCCACTGTTCACCAGCTGGTACCGAGGTATTTCCAGAGTTTCCTTACTGGTTGGCAGTGAGGCTTTCCCGGGCCCTGCCGGTGGCGTGTCCGCCTGCAGAGGAGGCAGAAGAGGCAGAAGCAGCGGACCTCCCTCCACTCCACACATCGACCTTGGGTTTGGAGGAGCTCATTATTTAGTGACTTAGAGTGATCGGTTCTTTTTTACTTTTCATAAACAGAGAAATGTTTGATCCAGCAGAAAAGTACAAAATGGACCACAAGAGGAGAGGAGTTGCCTTAATCTTTAATCATGAGAGGTTCTTCTGGCACCTGACGCTGCCGGACAGGAGGGGCACCAGCGCCGACAGAGACAATCTTCAGCGCAGGTAGCGCAGCTTTCTCTGCACATCAAGCTGGGGAGATTTATTAAGTGATGACTACTTATCAAAACTTGTCTGCACCAATGAAATAACAGCAGGAGCATTTGAGGATGGACCTCACTTGGGCCTCCCTCAAGAACTTGCCTGAATTTTCTGCCTAATCTTGTTCTATTAAATGTTAAGTCTTTTCATTGTTATAAATGTATCTATAGAGTAGATGACAGTATTCTAACTTAAATCAGTGATCATGAATAAATCCCTTCCTCCTGTGGGTGATCAAGGAAAACTGTTGGCATATTTGATTTCTTTCTTTTCCCCTAAAGGTCAATTTATATATCATAAAAAAGTGTAGATTCCTCAAATTAAGTAGGGGTATTGTGATAGCTTTGAATAGCTCATAAGCTAATATCCAGTTTGTCACCAGGTTTTCAGATCTAGGATTTGAAGTGAAATGCTTTAACGATCTTAAAGCAGAAGAACTACTGCTCAAAATTCATGAGGGTAAGTACATTTCCTATTTATCTTCCTATGATGGGACTGAGTAGTTTTTAATTATCCTATGTGTAAAGACAGGTCCAAATAATTAATTGTGTTGTAAGAAAGTCTTGTCAGTTAATTTAGCATGGGTTATAGGTTTTGGTTATGCTTCTCTGATTATGTTACCCACATGTTTATAGGCCAGGCTGTTTATTAAGCACTTAGAAACAAAAACCACCAAGACATGGTCCTTGACACAAAGAACACTAAGTTCCATAAGGAGGAATGAGGGGAGTTGAATGAGTATAAGTAGAGTCAAACAATTAGAACAGAGTCCAAATATATATATTAAATGTCTGCATTTGACATGTTAAAATTTCCAAGACAGCTGAGCCCTTCCTCTGTGCCTCTCAGAGACCCTTGCAAAGTATTATGCCTCCAAAGTTAGTCTCTATACCACTAGTTACAGACTGCTGCTCTAGAAATGAATGAAATTGATCTTTCCATGTAACAATAGTTTCAGATGTACAACATGATTGGTATTAGTATACATTGGGAAATGATCACCACAGTAAGTCTAGTTAACACTTGTCACCATACATAATTACAAAAACTTTCTTTTCTTGTGATGAGGACTTTGAAGATTTACTTTCTTAGCAACTTTCAAATATGCAATATAGTACTTATTAACTGCAGTCATCATGCTGTGTACATTATGTCCCCATGACTTATTTTATAACTGGAGGTTTATACCTTTCGACCCCCTTCTCTTGCCCCAGGAGCCACCAGTCTGTTCTCTGCGTTTTTGAGCTTGCTTTTGTTTGCCGGTTTTTAGATTCCACGTATAATGAGATCATATAGTGTTTGTCTTTCTCTGACTTATTTCACTTAGCTTAATGCCCTCAGGGTCTATCCATGTTGTCTCAAATGGCAAGATTTATTTATGGCTGAATGGTAATCCACTGTATATGTACACACCACATTTTCTTTATCCATTCATCTATCAATGGACATTTAGGTTGTTTCCATATCTTGCCAGTTGTAATAATGCTGCAGTGAATAGATGGGTGCCTGTACCTTTTAAAATTAGTGTTTCAAATAAATGGGCGCCTATATCTTCAAATTAGTTGTCCTCAGATAAACACCTGGAAGGGGAGCTGCTGGATGTAGTAGCTCTATTTTTAGTTTTTTTGAGGAACCTCGTATCAGTTTTTCTTTAATCTCTAGATCATTTCAGCTGGCTGCTTAGCAGGTTTTTACTTCCCTTGCTCCTAAGCTTTGGAGGACATGTCTCCTGTCTCAACACTCTTTTGGACGCTCTAAGTGCTGAGGACACACAGTGAAGGTGCTGCGCTCCTCGGAGGTGCAGTGCCACATAGGGAGGTGTTACTAGTAGTTTCTGGGTCTTCCCAGGCTGTTTTAAGACACTCTCTGCTGATTTAGAGGAACTTGTATTACCAAAATGATGTGGATCTTGAAGAGGGTTCCCCATAATAATCCCTTTAGGTTTTTCATATCATTATTCTGTGTTTTGGAAAAGCTAACAAAATCTGTTCAGTCTGTTACTTTGAACTTTAATCATTTAGATTTTTTAAAAATCAGATACAGTATGGTATAAATTATTGCTTGATCAAATACTAAAATAAGTTATATTTCATTTTATATTTATAACAAAATTTCCCCCTCCAGTCATATATAAGCAACTTTACTCTAATATTAGTAAACTGAATTTTTATGTGTAGATAATAAGCATCTTATTATCATTTCTAAATAACTTTTGGGCGCCTTTATAGCATCAACCTCTAGCCATGTAGATGCCGATTGCTTTTTGTGTGTTTTCCTGAGTCACGGTGAAGGCAACCACGTCTACGCATATGATGCCAAAATTGAAATTCAGACGTTGACTGGCTTGTTCAAAGGAGACAGGTGTCAGAGCCTGGTTGGAAAACCCAAGATATTTATCATTCAGGTAAGACTGATTATGTTATAGTCTTAACTATAAAGTTCATGGTTGTGTGTTTGATTAGAAAGAACTAAAGCCAATTTCAGAAGTAATTGTCTCCAGTAAGTGGAAAGGTCCTTTTTGAATCGAGAACAATCAGAGTTGCAATTTGAGCTGTTGGTAGTAATTCTTTCTTTACATAAAAAGGTTCCCAGTATCTTTATTACTTGGATTGACATTGGAAATGACTCACAGTCCTGAATGTGCTACTCCCTGGCCCAACCCAGTCAGGGCAGAGCCGCGAAAGGAGGTATCTGCTGATGGAGGAGTGAATGCAGGGCACCTGTTGGGAGCAGGTTTGGTTCTGGGGGCTGGAGAGCATGGCAGTCAGTGGGAAGAACGCAGGTGTAAAGACTTCCAGTCCTAGCTTGTTTCATCCTTTCATATTTTCCCTTAAACCAAGATGCTGCCCCCCCACCAAACTGCTATTAGGGATAAAAATATTTGGGGGCCTGAATAACATCATTTGGTACCTCAATAAGGATTTTGAACAAAAAAGAGAATTCTTGATGCTCCAGTGCTGCAGTCCTGTATTTCCATGAACAGCACGGAGGACACAACCCCATGCCACACTCTGCCAGACCTTGAGAGGGATGGGGTAGGGGGCGCTGTAAGAAAAGAGGTTAAGGGTGATTTCCAGCTTTTGTATTTGGACATCTGCATTGGGGTCTGTGGGACATGTCGTTGGAGATACAGGCCTAGACCTAAGAGAGGCAGCCAGGGTTGGAGAAACAAATTTGGGAGTAATGAGACAGATGGATGGTACTGGCAACCACGGGAGTAGATGAGTTTCCCCTTGTCAAGTATAGCCTGAAAAATGAGTGTAAAACGGAGCTGAGGGCCACCAGTGTGGAATGAGCCGAGGAAAGATACTGAGGAGGGTGGCCCCTCAGAGAAGTAGGAGGAAAATCACTAAGAATGACAGGTGACTGCTTCATGGAAACGGGAGTGGCCAGCACTGTCAGACAAGATAACTGGAAATAACTAGTGGGCCACAAAGGAGCGAAATGTTTTGCTGAGTTATTTTATTTCTCTGTGGCTCAGATTCTTCATCTGTGAAACGGGTTAAATAGCACTGCCTGACAGGGTGGTTGTGAGGATAAATAGACCTGGCCTGACAAATGAAGAGCACTCCCAGCAGTGCCTGGCCCGTGGCACGCCCCCAGGAAAGGCTGGCTCTTACTGTCACTGCTGTTGATGTGGCAAATGACGGCATCACGGTCCAAGCGGTCCTACATGTCGTTGAAGACAGTAGAAAATAAGGTCTGAGAATGAGTCTGGTAATAAGATAAAAATCTCCCTGTAAAAATAAGTTATTAGGGATCTTCTATTTATCTGATAACTGAAATCCATCAGAGCTTTCTTTTACAGCATACGATTCTTTAACCATTTCAGAATTGCTGGATGCACTTACAGTAAATACGATGGCAGAATCTTGTTAGGTCGCTGTATTACGTGTACTAGGGCTGCCGGAACAAAGTACAGGCATACGTCACTTCATTGCACTTTGCAGATAATTGCATTTTTTTTCGTAAAGTTTGTGGCAACCATCCATCAAGCAAGTCTGTCAGCGCCACTTTTCCAACAGCATTTGCTCACTTCGTGTCTCTCACATGTTGGTAATTTTCATGATATTTCGAACTTTCTCGTTATTATATTTGTTATGATGATCTGTGATCAGTGATTTTCACATTACTATTGCAAAAATTATATGAGTAGCTGAAGGCTTAGGTGATGGTTAGCATTTTTTAGCAGTAAAGTCTTTAATTTTTTAATTAAAGTCCGTACTGTTTTTAGACATAATGGTATTGCACACTTAACAGACTACACTGTAGTGGAAACAACTTTTATAGGCACTGGGAAACCAAAAAATTCATGAGACTTGCTTTATTTCGATACTCACTTTGTTGCGGTGGTCTGGAACCAGATCTGCAGTATCTCTGAGGTCTGTGTACACAGACTAGGTGGCTTAAACAACAGAAATTAATTTTCTTGCAGTTCTGGAGGTTAGAAGTCTGAGATCAATGTGTCAGCAGGGTTGAAGTCTTCTGAGGCCTCTCTCCTTGGCTGGGAGGTGGCTTCTTGTCCATTGTGTCTTCATATGGTCTTTCCTCTGTGAGTGTCAGTGTCCTGGTCTCCTTTTATAAGGACACCAGTCGTACTGGATTAGGGTCCACCAGTATGACCTCATTTTGCCTTATTTACCTCTTTAAAGGTAAATATAGTCACATTTGAGATACTAGGAGTTATGACTTAAATATATAAATTGGAGCAGGGTGGGGAGGGGACAAAATTCAGCCCATAATAGTAATTTAAGAGTCGAAATTAATGTCAGCCTTGTGTGAGTCAGAATAGTGGGTAAAGATTTGAGCCCTCACTTTAAAATAGGAACAAAAGGCAGAAGGCACATCATGTGGTGTCATTTTCACCCTTAACAATTTATGGCAGCAGCCTGGCAAGCAAAACCCAGTCTGGGAATATATTACCTGATTAAATAGAAACGGACAAATACTATATGTAAGCCTTTAAAAGAAAGGGTGGCTCTTGGTGCTAGGGTGTGGGTAATCCGTAAGAAATTTTAAAACCACAGATGCTTTGCCCTCTACAGTGTTCCTTTCAATCAACACAGTTTGGTGTATAGTTGAGAATGCTAATTTTTTAAGCATTAACTATAAAAAAACATAAGTAGGAAAAAAACCTGTCAGCTTTGCTCTGCTGTCAGCCTGAGTGGATTGCTTTAGAAGTGCCTGTGGAACAGCTTGTTGACGTAGCTCTGACGGCGCACCCGCGTGAAGCACTGGGAGGAGCAGATACATGAAGGAGGGGATTCTGCTCCTGTCTCGCAGGCGTGTCGGGGAAACCAGCACGATGTGCCCGTCATTCCTTTGGATGTTGTGGATCATCAGACAGACGTGCCGGATGCCAACGTAACCCAGGTGGACGCGGCCTCGGTGTACACACTGCCTGCCGGAGCTGACTTCCTCATGTGCTACTCGGTGGCAGAAGGTGTGTGGGTGTTTAATACAAACCTACAGTTGGCTTTCTTGGCTTAGTTCCTGTAAGTTTCACCTTGGCTTGATTTAGATGAGGTCTTTCCTGTTGGGACATGTGATTTTGTCGTGAAGCTCTCAGGCTTAAAATGGATTTCCTTGTGCCAGGTGATCAGAGTAATATTTAAAAGGACACTACCTTGTAGAAAAATCCTTCCTGAGAACTATGTTAAATAAAGCTGCAAAGCGAATTACATTGAATAGTATCCGCAGAAGATATTCATGACTGATGGTGATACTGTTATTGTGGTTAACAGTCATGGAAAATGCTGTTGAAAAATACTTTAACAGTTGTTCTCTGCTCTTGCATTAAATAATTTTATGTTTTTCTTTTTTCTAGTCTCAAAAATCATTACCTAGCTAATATTATCTTGGGAATTTTTAGGAAATTACATAGCATTAGCCCCATTTTCATAGAACCATATGGAATTAATCTTTTTCCCAATTGAGAACAGTCAACAGAAAAAATTTTAAACTATATCTTGGATACATCTTAGTCTTCTCCAAGGATTTTTGAGAACTTAGATATTTTAAAGGTGTTTTTCAGTCCAAGTAACTGAAAACCAGAAAACTTCAGTGGCCTCTCCTATCTTTTTTAGGTTATTATTCTCATCGGGAAACTGTGAACGGCTCATGGTACATTCAAGATTTGTGTGAGATGCTGGGAAAATTTGGCTCCTCCTTAGAGTTCACAGAACTCCTCACACTGGTGAATAGGAAAGTTTCTCAGCGCCGAGTAGACTTTTGTAAAGACCCAAATGCAATTGGAAAGAAGCAGGTTCCCTGCTTTGCCTCAATGCTAACTAAGAAGCTGCATTTCTTTCCAAAATCTAAATAATAAGTGCTGTTTTGTTTTATGTATCTGTATTCAAAATAGATTTTCCCTTTTTATAAAAAAGAAGTATCCCCAGGTTGAAGTTTATGGTATAGCAATTTAAAATGTTTTAAGCTTTAATGAGAGAACTTTAAAAAAAATAGTTCATATTGGACATGGTGAAGGGGTTTGATATGTAGTAATGAAATCCTCAGGGAATTTCTATAAGTTAAAAATCTATTAGCATTTCTAATACTTGACTTTTATAGTAAATTGCAAGGTTACTCATAATATCTGGCTGATTTAACTTTTATTTTGTGACTTTTTTACATGACACTTTTTAATCTTTTTAAGGGTTTTTGAATCCTAAGTATTAGTTTTCCTTTAATATTTGAAATTCGTGTTTTATTAAATTTTTCTAATTACATTCTTATTTGTGTAATTTATAGATGACTTGTTTTACTTGGTCATGTAAATCTACATATGAGTTACCACTTTTTGTATAGGACTTGAACACTCACATTTGAAAAAAAATGAGCCTTCAAGAACAGTTCATTTTTTTCAAAGTGAGCATTACAGTCTTGTACAAAAAGTGGTATTTCATGCATAGATATGGCATTCTGAGAAGGAAATAGAAAACATAAAACATAGAGACTTCTTAGTAGAGGCTACACACTTGCAGAGTTTGATTCTGTCAGTACCTTCTGTGTTAAGTTACTGTACACTGTCCAGCAGTCCCACATGTGGACTGTTATGTTAATGGAATAATAGATATTACTTTTAAGATTCAATTCTTACTAATACGATATATAAAATGAGCAGCATGTTAATAACCTACCGGAGGCCGAAGATGGTTACGTTCGGGCTCTGATAGCAAACTTGAGGGTCGCTAGCTCAGAAGCAGTTTGCCTATGTCATTTCAGTTGCAGTTCAAAACATGTGCCAACTCTATGCTAAGGTCAGTGGGACATTTATGCCTCTTTTTGTGTCATAACAGGGACTTCACGTCAGTTGAACATTTTACCTGTCCTTTAACCCCCTACTCACAGGCGTTGCCATCTCCATGGTTCTACCTATAAGAGCAAATGACTACAAATGATTTCAAGTGACAATTTATAATAATCTTAGCTATATTTAATGATAAAAATTTTCAACTACGAATTTAAAAAGTAATGGCAAGATGATTCTAAATGAAGCCGAAGAATCAAAGTGAAGTCAGGCACACTGACCACTTCTTCGCATGGGAATGAACGAACACACGACACTTACGAGGAATCTTAACTCACGTGCTGAACTGCAGCAGCAGATGCTTTGATTTTGGTGGACGCGTCCAAGCTCCTTCCAGCAGCAGCTTCAACGAGCCGTGAAAATCCACAAACCAAAAAATCTCAAATGAGAACATTAAAGGATACCTGTGTTTTGCAAGCATTTTTTTTTATTAACAAAAGAGACTGAAATAGTCAAATTCACATGAACTACAGGACTCAAAGTTCCAGTTTCTAAGTTGCAAATGAACACAATGCAAAAATTCACTGACATTTAAAAATGGAAGATTACTTCTTTTCATTGAGTTCCTCTACTGGCATCTGCAAATAGAGAGAGTGGCGCACCAGTCTCAGGGCTTCTGTAGCCTGTCCACAGGAAGAAAAAGAGGCAGTGATCAGAAAGGACCGCAAGCCTATGAGCATTACTGCTCACGAGGAACTCTATACCTTCAACATCTCCTTAGTCAATACATAGATCTAAACTATGAGTGGCAACTGCCTACTATTAATATTACAATTTATGTGGCTCCTTTTGTAAAACATGAGTTCGAGGTTTCTATTATGTCCTTAGGGTTATTGTTATGTTAGTTTTCGCCTTTATAGTGGTTTTCCCAGTTCATATTCAAAAACAAAAAACAAAAACCTACTCTGATTTATCAGTTTCCTGTTTTTCCTCAACTTTATTACTTAAAAAAAAAAAACTTCACAGGGTGCTCCTCTGAACCTTCAATGCCCAGGGCTGTAAACTAGTTGGAAGAACATTCCTTTGGCCTTCTACTTAAATGTAGGAGTATCCACTAAACTTTTTTAAAAAGCATCTTATTTTTCCTAAGTAATTATATGGAATTTAAAAATATTTTTTAAAGGCTCTTTATCTCCAATTTTTGGACTACAAAGGAAATATCTTTCCTTTAAATTTGAGGGATAGGTCATTTAGAAGGTACAGGTAACAAAAGACATGATGATTACTGGCTATTGAATGATCATGCATTGAGCAATGGAGGATATTTTTACCAAAACTTTTGTAACTAAAAAAAATTGGGGGGGTAATTAGGTTATTAATTAATCAATTACTTTTATTTTTTTAATGTAGGTACTGGGTTTTGAACCCAGGATCTCCTGCATGCTAAGCATGTGCTCTACCGTCCCCTCCAAAAAACTTTTCTAATAAAATTGAGAAGTCACCATCTGAACAAAGCTAATGAGACCACTGGGAGGCCAGAGATAAAATTTGCCTAAGAGACAGGTTGTATGGAGGTTCTTAAGCGCACAGGCTGCAGAGTCCAACTTTTGGCTTCCTACCCTGGTTTCCCTACTCTAGCAGTGTGCACCTCTGTGTTCGCATCTGGAAGATGGAAAAGATGAATGGAGGAATACCATACTGATTCTATTTTTAAGGAGGAGAAACTTGTAAATGCCTTTAGAGAGCTTAAAATTGTTTATCAATGTGTCCACCTTTGAAAGTTCTACTTCTATATTCTTAACAGTTACAAAATCTGCACTTGAGCTTGACACTGGACTTTTTTCTTTAAAAACCTATATTCAGTTAGAAAAAGCTTTCTCCTAAAAACTTTAAGACAATTTCCATACACACTTAAAGCTACCCACATGTAGAATACAGAAGACAAGAACAAAGCTGGAGGAAATTAGTCAGACATGTCAGCTGTTCCACTGAACAAACCACAGTCCAGAGAAGCTATCGAGGACAAGATTAACCAGTGAGGGATGAGCCCCGGATTGCGTTTCCCTGACATTAAATTCTGGCTCCCAAACAAGACCAGTTATAAAATGTCATGTTTGCAGTAAGGTACCTTAGCAAGGTCTTCTTTTAACTGGTTGTACCGCACCACGTCGAAATGCTGTTGCTTTGATTTCTTATGGAAGAAGTGAAGAAACTGCCTACTCTTAACAGCTGAGTAAGTATAATCCTAAAAAAAAAAAAAAAAAGCGACAGCATGTTTTAAATGAACATATTGCCTCCGCAAGAGAGATACTTGCCTTAGCAACAACAACGCAAAGGCAGGCAGTAAAGGAAGGTAAAATATTTGCAGTGGCCATCAGAGCGAGCATAAGGCAACACAAGTAAAACATTTAGTCTCATTTGAGATCAGCTGCTCCTTTCAAAAGCAAGCAAGCTGGGAAGAGAAATCACACATACTGGGATAGAAAAGAGGAAAAGGAAAATGGAGATTTTTGGCAAAATAATCATGAGATAGAGCTGAAGTTACTGGGTGGTTTGCAATACAAATTCAATTTTATTTATGCACAGAGTATGTAAGTTTGATGGGTTTATCTCAATGGAGGAATTTGGTAACTTGTACTATGTACTTCTCCATAGAGGTTAAGTATAGTTTCTCTGTGCTATATATACAAATCTCCATGCTCTGGGAAACAACGAAATTTAACAGCTGATAAAACCCTAGACAGCAGTAATTCAGTAAGTAAAAAGGTTTTAATGCTCATTACTTGACTTGGATCAGGAATTATTTACAGAAGATGTTATAACTTACCATTTCCTTAACAAAACTACTCACCTGTCGAGTGACTATGAAGTATGCAAAAAAGACCATAGAATTTGCAAATGTGATGAAGTAGGTGACTGGTTCCATGATATCCCAGGAGTACACCCACCAGGTGAGCCAGGCCATTGCCCCGCCCTGGACGGACAGCAGTGCTAACCCAGCCCACAGGAGTCCGCTGGTTTTGGCTTCTGAACGATCTTCTATTTTGGCTTTCATCTGAGGGGTAAAAAAATGACTGTTCAGTTTACAGTGCACTGACTTGAGGGAAAAAAGCAAGAAAAAGAGGGGAGGGTATAGCTCAGTGGTAGAGTGTGTGTTTAGCATGCACGATGTCCTAGGTTCAATCCCCAGTACCTCCATTTAAATAAGTAAGTAAATAAATCTAATTACTCCACCCCCCCAAAAAAAAACTCCAAAAAAATGGAATAAAATTTTTTTTAAAAAAAGAAAAGGAACAAAAGTGCATTAAATAGGTCTGAAAAAAACAAGAATTTATAAAACATACATTAATGAGTGATCACATTGCCAAAATAGTTCATTGATAAACCATTTTTTAAATTATAAAGGTAATACTTGTTCATGGAAAAAACTGAAATAGTATAGAAGGATATACATTTTTCCATCAAGCTATCATACAGCTATAATGAGAACACTATGTACTAATATGGAGATCTTTCCAGGATATACTGTTAGTGAAAAAAGGTGAGAATAGTGTATAATAGCAGGTACCTTTAGGGAACAAAACAATAATTTGTTTTTGTTTGTACATAGATAAAATCTGAAACAATTCATAGTTGTAGGTATATGGTACTGGGAGGACTGTAGGAGGAAAACTCCACTGGCCACCTTTTTAGATTTTTTAAACTTTAATGCAAGTAAACATATCACCAACTTCCTAAAAAGTAAAGAAAAAATTAAAATGTGGGCTCACAATCCAAATAGAAAGGCCCCTCTCTCTGGCATTCCCTAAATACCCTTAGAGGTAATCACATCGAAACTTTCTTATCTCCAGAAACCTTCTGTTTGTACGCAAAGATACATATACCTATCCATTTTGAAAAGTCACAACGGGATCAGTTTTCAAAAATGCATTTTCTCCCTTAAATCGAAACACTTTTTTTCCCCCCTCCACCACTGATTAACTTCAGAGCTTAGGAAGCCACTGCTAACGTTCCATCTGTGATTCTACTGGGCAGAGTGGGACTGTGGGCGCTCCAGCTGGTGCGTCCCAGCTCACCCTCCCCTCAGGTCAGGGACACGATGGCTGATCCATGGAGAGGAGGCAAAGGTGGCAGCCAGGAGTCAGACCTCCGGGGCTCAAGTTCACACTGAGCTACCATCCTCTACCATCCTCTGAAGAATGAGGAAGGTAACAATACCAAGCTCCCAGGCTCACTGTGAGGACTAAAGGAGAACATGAGCATAATTAAAGCATTCAGTAAAGTGCTCACGTGGCGCATGCTCAAACATTGGGTGTTATTTGCAAACAGACTCAACTGTGACGCTTCCAAACCTGTTCAAGGGTCTGCAGCTGTCCCTTCAGGTGGTCGATTTTCTCCAGTAGATGGTGCTCTCTCTTTTTCTGAAACTCTTCTAAATGCAAGGCTGTGAACAGTCTGTGAACCAAGGATTTCATGTTTTCCATCTCAGTAGTTTGCTCACGACTCAGTTTTTCTGAGAAAAGACACGGGAAACAAGGCAGTGGCCACATTTTTTCTTCCAGGGTTTGTAAGTCCAGGGAACCACATCTGAATCTCCACGGCTGGATGCCTGGGTGCGCCCAACTCCTGGGGTGGGGCAGGGTGGGGTGGGGGGACACATTTGGTGTTGGCCTTTATTCCTGTCTCAGGTGACTATATTCATCTCTCTGGATTAACAAATAACCAGACAATAGGTTTAAAATTTATCATGTTTTTGTCTGTTCTCTTTTATAATATAACTAGTACTGTTTCTTTAAAAGAAAAAGTAATACAGGAAAAGGGAGTATCCGTCTGCCAGAATCCAACCTTACAACCTTAGTTGGTAACACATTAGTTTACAGGTTAACTTTCATACCTGACTTAACCTAAGATCCCTCCCCCTTCACCCCAGCTATCTATCCAAAAGTCATTTTAAGGTCCACTGGGGAGGGAAGCTGGTGTCCAAACAGGTAAATGAAAGTATCACACCCGTTGGAAAAGCAATTCAAGTGTAAGTTCTTTTCAGCAAGGTGTAGACCTGGAAGGAGGTTCATATGGACCAGAGTCAGTTTCCGAGTTTTTAACACAGAGTTGAGTTCTTTTGACTACAGGTTTCTTTCATCCTTCCACCTCCGTGGATCTATAAATCCACATAAAATTGGGCTGTACTGACACCTTTCCAGGGGTTACAACTGTCCCCCACCACTGTAAGAGAACTTGGGGTGGGGGGACAAGGTGAAAGGAAGGAAAGAGGGTCCTTCCCCCAGGCAGCAGCACACAACGGCAGACACGGGGGTTTATGATCCCAGAGTCAGTGTTAGCCCAGTGGTTTTCCAGCCTGTGTCAGCGGTCCTGAAGTTACTCTTCCTTCTGTCTCCACCCACTTCTTCAAGACTTCATTATGACCTTCAATCCCTTCTACGTTCTAGGCTAAAACTGACACAAAGAGGTGAAAACGAGAAGTTTCCAGGCTTTTGAGATTTGCAGAACAGTTAGAGCCTTTTTGTTTTGATAAAAACTGTATTGATATTTAAAAGGTGCACACACAGAAAAAAGGTATTGATGGGGCAGGATTCTAAGGCTGTGGAGCATAAGCCAGACACTGGTCAAAGTGGTAAGGGTAGACTTTATTCAGCAACTGCTGCACAAGGGAAGAGGGTTCAGCATGAACTCAACTTCTATTTGTGCAGAGGTGGCTGGGCATTTTAAGGGAGGGACAGAGGCCATCAGGGGCTTAAGCAGAGTCAGGGACGTGGAAATTGACAAAAAGTGAGAATGGAAGTTGCTTAATGTGACTAGGCCATTTAGATTAGTTAACTGGCGCTTATCTGGAAGAGGAAGGTCAAGTAGAACAATGAGATGCCCTGAAAATGTTTTATTTCCACTTGCTCCCTCAAAAGCTAAGCCCAGAGAACAGGAAGTGGAAGACCTTCCGGAGTGCTAGGAACTCACTGGACACGAAAATTCTATTTTAACATGGGTATTCATTTTCATATTTCTCAACTTCTTCCATCCTTCTCTCTTTGGGTTTAAATACTGTCCTGATTTTAAAAAAGAATCAAGAATAGAAGAATATTCATAATCGTTGAGATGGATTTATTTTAATTTCTCTATGTCTGTCTTTGACAATTCCATAAAATGTTCAAACATACAATTAAAATTTTTAAAAATATTTTTCTTCCAAGGATCTTCAGAGAAGTGTGGCTGGTATCAATGCTGAAGTACAAGGTCACTCTGGACCATCTAGTTATACCAGAAAGAAAATGCTGAAAATAAAAATGGGGGCAGGTCACAAGGACATGGGAGCTGATGGTGTTCAAACTGTACCAGATATGGTTAGTAGGAGCCCCCTTAAGCTGGCTCCTATGTCCTTGTAACTGACTCCCATTTTTCTGTTAGCATTTCCTTATTTTTTTAAAATTGAATTATATTGATTTACAGTATTATATTAGTTTCAGATGTATAGCATATTGATTCAGTATTTTAACATATATTCCATTAAAAGTTATTACAAAATAATGGCTATAATTTCCTATGCTGTATAATATAGCCTTGTTATTATTTTATAAACAGTAGTTTGTATCTCTTAACCCCCTATGCCTATCTTGCCCCGCCTACCTTCTTTCTCCCCACTGGTAACCACTGGTTTGTTTTCTATATCTGTTTTCTATTCTGCTATATACATTCATTTGTTTTATTTTTTTAGATTCCACATATAAATAATATCATACAGTATTTGTCTTTCTCTGTCTAAGCATAATCTCCAGGTCCATCCATGTTGCTGCAAATAGCAGATTCATTCTTTTTTATGGCTGAGTAGTATTCCACTGTGCATGTGTGTATCTTATATTTTCTTAAGCCAATCATCTGTTGATGGACACTTGGGTTGCCTCCATATCTTGACTACCATAAACAGTGCTGCTATGAACATTAGGGTGCATATATCTTTTCAAATTAGTGTTTTCAGTTTTTTCCAGATATATACAAGGAATGTGACCAACAAGTAGTTAATATCCAAAATATACGAACAGCTTATACAACTCAACATTAAAAAAAAAAACCCAATCAAAAAATTGGCAGATCTAAACAGATATTTCTCCAAAGAAGACATACAGATGGCTATCAGACACATGAAAAGATGCTCAACATCACTATTAGAGAAATGCAAATCAAAACAGTGACATATCACCTCACAGTTGTCAGATTGGCTGTCATTAAAAAGTTTACAAATAACAAATGTTGGCAAGGATGTAGAGAAAAGGGAAACCTTTTACACTATTCATAGGAATGTAAATCAGTGCAGCCACTATAGAAAACAGTATGGAGGTTCCTCAAAAAACTAGAAATTGGACTACTGTATGATCCAGCAATCCTACTCCTAGTATTGATGACTCCTGCCTGAATTTGGCTGCCAAATAATGATTTTTCAACTATAGCAGCCCTCCCATATTTACCAGTCAGTACTTGGCTTTCTAACTATACACATGGACCTTCCCTTATTTACTGATTTATTGATCTCATCATCTATTTATTAAGGCATAGACTCAAGTATTACTTCCTCTCACCCCCAGTAGTCTATGATCACAGCTTACTGGGAGGAGAAACCTCTGGAGCCAATCCTGGCAGGAACACTTAAACTATAATTGATGAATTGTTGAAGGCTCAGTGCTGACTAGCTTGAGAAATAAAAACTCCCACACATTCATGAGTTTTACCTCCAGGAATCCCACCTGGTTCTCACAGTGAAGGTCAGAGAATCAGAGAAAAATACCTCCCTGCTTCCAGCAGAGAGAGGAGGAATATAACCATTTTTAAACAGCCCTGAGCATTACTTTATCCATACCAAGGAAATGCCAGTTGACCCCTGAACAATGTGGGTGTTATGGGCACCAGCCCACCACACACTTGAAAATCCACATATAACCTTCTAGTTGGCCCTCTAGCCACGGTTCCAACAACTCAACCAACCGTGGATCATGTAGTGCTGCAGTGTTTATTGAAAAAAAAATCAGCATGTTAAGTGGATCCATGCAGTTCAAACCTATGTTCAAGGGCCAACTGTACTTTACCAGAGCTTAATTTGGCCTGGAGGAAGGACAATTAGCCAACTCCAGACCCCTCTAGCCTTCCCAGCTCATATAGGGGAGGGAGAATAAGGCTAAGAAGCTTTTCTGAAGGTTAAAGTATAGGAATCCTGGCCCAATAAAAGCCATGAGGTTTAACCATAAGATTACAGAATGCTTTTCCTCCCTAATACCTTAACACCACATCCATAGGGCTCCAGTTCTGTGCAAGACACAGACTCTATTTAAGAAAAGATTTCTAGGGAAACTCAAACACAGCAGGGAAGAGAAAAACAGGGACATTAGAAGAAACTGAAGCCTCTGATACCTACAGCTACAGCACACAGTAAACAGCCAGACTCCTGGCTCACACTGAAGATCTACTTGCTTCAGTTTCTATTTTTAATACAGCATGTCCACCTTTCAACAAAAAATGACAAGGCAGGTAAAAGGCAAGAAAAAACAGTCTGACAAAACAAAGCAAGCATCAGAACCAGAATCTGATATGGCAGAGATTTTAGAATTCAGACCAAAAAATTGAGACAAATATGATTAACACGGTAAAGGCTGTGATGGAAAAAGTAGATAATATGGATGAACAGATGAGTAATGTAAACAGAGAGATGGAAATTCTAGAAAAGAATCAAGAAGAATTGCCAGAAACCAAAAACACTGTAACAGAAATGAAGAATGCCTTTGATGGGCTCATCAGTAAACAACACACAGGGGAGGAAAGAATCAGTGAGTTTAAGGATACGTCTATAGAAACCTGCCAAACTCAAGGCAAAGAGAAAAAATAATGGAAAAAAAGAAACCGAACATCCAAGAACTATACAACAGTTACAGAAGGTATAAAATGCCTAAAGGGAATACCAGATGGAGAAGACAGAGGAACAGAAGAGACACCTGAAGTAATGATGGCTGAGAACTTTCCAAAAGTATATTGCAACCAGTGAAATGATAGCTTGAGACGAAAAGGAAAACTCTCTCTAAAAAAGAAAAGACTTCTGGTTTCTGGTCTGACATATAAGGAGCTTGGAAGTCATCACTCCATCCTAACAACAGGTAAAAAGCTGAACAAACTGAAAATCAATACTGTTCTTAGATACGTGAGAAAACCAAGGTCACAGGGCAAACGGCTGCACACAAAACCGAAGAGACTGATGTACAGAGAATTACAACTTACCAGAGCAGGAACCCTTGAGCAGAAACCTTCACAGAACCAGTGAACTGTAACTGATAAGCTACTGGAGGTTTGGTGTGGACAACTCTGAGTTAAAAAATCCAGTGGGACACAGCTTTAGGGGCACATGCCCATTCTTTTGGGAGTTTTACCCCCAGGAGTTCTACCAGGTTCTCCTAACAAAGACGAGAGAAAAATACCCTGTCCTTCTAGTACAGGGAGGAGAAAACTACCATTTTGAAATACACCAGGGCATTTCATTCTTAACAAGGCTGCCCTCAAGAGAAACGATTTTATAAAGATCTAATCTGTTCTTACAAACAATAATTAGTACATATATGTAAACTTAACAAATGTATACTGTATACATGTATTTACACGCAATATAATGTGTATGTGCAGTCACACTGTAGTAATTGTACATAATAAAACTGAAAAAGGAAAAAAAAGAGAGAGAGAAATGATTTTACCAGAGCCTACCTTAATAGATTGTAAAGGAATCTAATCTTGTCAGTTAGGCTTATATTAAGCAATATATAATTTAACAACAAGTGTCAAAATATAAAAGGCAACTGTAGAGAGAAAGAAATGAATCCAGTAAAGTTGGAAACTTCAAAACCTCTCTATCGGAGAGATTCAGCCAGCAAAAAAATCAGTAAGGACATAGCTGAACTCAACAGTACCATCAATCAACTGGGTAGAACTGACGTCTATAGACAGCTCAATCCAAGAACAGCAGGACACACATTCTTCTCAAGCTCACATGGAATATTCACCAGGACAGACCTCATTTAGGCCATAAGGCCCACCCAAATAAATGCCAAAGAACAGAAATCATACAATGTATGCTCTCAGACCGCGACAAAGTTAAAGTGGAAATAACAAAAGATAGCTGGAAAATCCAAAGTATTTGCAGAGATTAAACAATATACCTCCAAATAACACATGGTTCAAGGAAGAAATCAAGATTAAACACTATTTTGAATTAAATGAAAATGAAAACATAACTTATCAAAATTTGTGGGATGCAACAAAGACAGCATTTGAAGAGAAATTTATAGCACTGAATGCATACATTAGAAAAGAAGAAACATCTAAAATCAATAATCTGACTTTCCACCTTAGGAAACTGGAAAAAGAAAAGCAAACTAAATTCCAAGTAAACAGACAAAAAGAAATAATAAATATTAGAACAGAAATCAATGGAATTGATTAATCCCTAGCCAGGCTTACTAAGAAAAAAAAGATAAATTACTAATATGAAATGAAAGACAGACCCCATGGACATTAAAGGAATACTATGAATAACTCTATGCCTGCAAATTTGATGACCTAGATTAAATGGACCAATTCTTTGAAAGGTATACTTTGTCAAAACACATGCAAGAAAAAACAATCTGAATAGGCCTATATCTATTTTAAAAATTGAATCAATAATTCATAACCTTCTAAAATGGAAAACACCAGGCCCAGATGGGTTCACTGGTGAATCCTACTCAAAATTTAAGGAAGAAATTATACCAATTCTCCACAGTCTCTTCCAGAATATTAGAAGCAGAGGAAATATTTCCTAAGTCGCTCATGAGAACAGAATTACCTGAACACCAACGCCAGAGAAAAACATTGCAAGAAAAAAAAAATTCAGACCAATATCTCGAGTATGAATACAAAAATCCTTAACAAAATATTAGCAAACTGAACCCAATAATGTATAAAAAGAATTATACATCATGACCAAGTAGGATTTACACAGGATGGCTGGCTCAACATTTGAAAATCAGTTAATGCCATCCATCACATCAACAGGCTAGAGAAGAATCCTATGATCTTATCAGTAGATGCATAAAAGCATTTGATAAAGTCCAGTACCCACAAATGATGAAAACCATCAGCAAACCAGGAATAGAGGAACTTCCTCAACTTGGTAAAAACATCTAACATAATATTTAATGATAAGAAACTTGAAGCTTTCCTGCTAAGACCATGAAAAGGGAAAGGAGCCTCCTCTCACCACTCTTCAAAACCATAGTGCAAGTCCTAGCTAATGTAGTAAGAAAAGGAAATAAAAGATAATATATTGTAAAGGAAGAAATAAAATTGTCTTTGCTTACAGATGACATGATCATCTATATAGAAAATCAGAAAGAACCGACCAAAAAAAAAAAAAAACCCAACTCCCGGAACTAATAAGCAATTATAGCAAGGTTGCAAGATACAAGGTTAATATATAAAAGTTAATAGCTTTATTGTATACCAGCTATGAACAAATGGAATTTGAAATTAAAAACACATTACTATTTACATTAGCACCTAAAAAATTTAAACACTTAGGCATAAATCTAACAAAATATGTACACAATCTCTATGAGGAAAACTACAAAACTCTAATAAAAGATATCAAAGAAGAACTAAGTAGAGCTTTCCTTGTTCATGGATGGAAAGACTCAATATTGTCAAGACATCTTTTCTTCCCAACTTTATCTATAGATTCAACACAATCTCAATCAAGATCCCGGCAATACTTTGTGGATGTCAACAAACTGAGTCCAAAGCTTATATGGACAATCAAAAGGCTCAGAATAGCTAACTCAGTATTGAAGAGTGAAGTCAGAAGACTGACACCACCCGACTTCAACGCTTACTATAAAGCTACAGTGTCAAGACAGTGTGGTAAAGAACAGACAGACAGGTCAATGGAACAGAAGAGAGAGCCCAGAAATAGATCCATATAAATACAGTTGACAGATCTTTGACGAAGGAGCAAAGGCATATAGTGCAGCAAAGACAGTCTTTTCAACAAATGGTGTTGGAAGAACTGAACATTCAAATGCAAAAACAGGAATCTAGACTCAGACTTTACACCCTTCACAAAAATTAACTCAAAATGGATCATTGACTTAAATGTAAAATGCAAAACTATAAAACTGTTTATAACAGGAGTAAACACAAAACAGAAACAGACTCATAGACATAGAATACAGACTTGTGGTTGCCAAGGGGGCGGGGGGTGGGAAGGGACAGACTGGAATTTCAAAATGTAGAACAGATAAACAAGATTATACTGTATAGCACAGGGAAATATATACAGGATCTTGTGGTAGCTCACAGCGAAAGAGAATGTGACAATGAATATATGTATGTTCATGTATAACTGAAAAATTGTGCTCTACACTGGAATTTGACACAACATTGTAAAATGACTATAACTCAATAAAAAAAATGGTAAAAAAAAAAAGATAACATAGGAAAAATGACTTTAGACATGGCAATGACTTTTTAGATACAACACCAAAAGCACAATCCATGAAAGAAATAATTGATAAGCTAGACTTCATTAAAATTAAAAACCTCTGCTCTGCAAAAGATAATGCCAACCAAATAAGAAAACAAGCCACGGACTGGGAGAGGTTAGGGGTAGGTAGGAATGAGGCAGCAGAGCAGAGAGGATTTTTGGGCCGTGGAAGTACTCTGTATGAAACTACAATGGTAACAATATGTCATTATATGTTTATCAAAACCCATAAAAAGTACGACACCAAGAGCGAAACCTAATGTAAACTGTGGACTTTGAGCGATAATGATCTGTCAATGTAGGGTCATGGATTATAGCAAATGTTCCACCCCGGTGCTTGACAGTGGGGGAGGCTTTGGGGAAGCGGCAGGCGTATGGGAACTCTGTACTCTGCTCAGTCTTGCTGTGAACCTAAAACTGCCCTGAAAGCAGTCTACTTAAAAAAAAGAAGAAAAAAGAAACAGAAGAGTTAACAGCCATACAAGGGTGCACACTTGAGTTCATGATTTTCAGGTCCACTTCTTCTTAACCCAGTAATGTCAGATTAAGCATTCAAGATGCTAAAATGAAGTCTTAAAATTTGTCTAAAAAGGATACATGAGACTAAAATCCCTGATGAGGGGAGGGTGTAGCTCAAGTGGAAGAGCACATGCTTAGCATGCATGAGGTCCTGGCTTCAATCCCCAGCACCTCCTCTGAAAATAAACAAACAAACCTAATTTCCTACCCCCTCAACAAGAAATTAAAAAAACCCTAAAGATTAAAAAAAAAATCCCTGATAGACAACTTCTACTGATTATTTACACCCTTGCCAGAAAAGTTTAAACTCTGGTTCTTCAGAGCCCTCTTGGTCATCTGGCTAGCTAAAAAGATTCTCAAGATAAGCTGGCTGCCTGAAAAAGGCCCAGGGCTAAAGGGAGGTATTAAGACAGTTGCTGCGTCTCTTACCTTTCTTGGGGCACTGCACATCATATGTTATTTTATTAATGACAAGTTTAAAATCATTCATTAGCAAAACTTCCATCAAGGTTGAAGCTGCAATTTCACTGCCATCTGAAAATGAAAAAATATGTCCTTGTTTTAGAACAGTAAGAATATAGAAATATATAGAAACATGCTTACTAATCCAGGCCTTTACAGTACAGTAGTGGACACTGGCCTTTGGGAGGGGGTCCCCAATACTGCTCCCACTGGGAGGCATCTTTCCTTGTTGCTCCGCTGCTCATGACACTAGACCAAGGAGAACAGGCAGGTGCTCGCTCTCCCACTCTGTCACCTGGGCTGGGATCCAGACTGATACCTCTGGTGAGACCCTCACTGCAGACAGTTACACACAAATTCCGGGGAGGTGGGAACTCTTCACAGCAAGGCCGGAGCAGTGGAGGTGGCAGCTGGCGGTGGGAGGGGGTCAGCAGCAAAGCCCATCAAGCCATCCCAGGCTAACCTCTTTACTCCACTCCTCCTTCAGCTCCTGCCCTCTTCTGAGTACCAGACCCTTCTGTCAGTTCCAACCAGAGAGCCTGCTGACATCCCCCTGCTTAGCCAGAGTCCATGTCTGATTGGATGTGAAGGCATACAGGCAGGAGTAACATTTTTAAAAACCTACCTTTCTCTTATTTTTAATTACTAGAGGTGACTGATGTGTGTTAGCTAAAACCTGGAAGCCAAACAGCACCACAAACCACCACCACACAGGGCTCCCTCCTTTTCCAGCTCAGGAAAGATAAAAAGGCAAAACTGTGAGGGGGGTAGGTGGCTGGGATAGTAACAAACATAATTAAACCTACGGAGTGAATATGCCTCTGTGTGCTGTATTTTATGGAGGTGGAGAGAGGTAGGAGAGATTCTACTAATAATTACAAATACCTTAGGAACATTTCAGGAAAAAAAAAAACAACTAGGAAAATTTCAAAGTCAGTGTGCACTTTGCACAGCTTCTGATATAGCCTAGTTTTTGTTGCTGTATTTTTGAGCTTTAATATGACCCAGGTGTTAAGAAAGCAAGCTCACTGAACAATAAGCAAAAAACTGGCAGTGGTAGGGGTTTCTCCATAATTGTTCTTTCAGAACAGACTACATATACACACACTATGTATACTATACAACTATGTGATATAAAGCCCAGGGTGGGTACTTTCGCCTGGCCTGGCACGAGCTTGGCTACACGTAACCAGAGCTGTTTCAGCTACATTAATATGCATGACAACAGGCACACTGCTAGTGAAGTCAGGAAGAACCTGGTTGCCGGCCTCCTGTCTGGCGCTTGGCAGTTCTTTCGTTCCAGAAGGCAGCAAGTCAAGTCTGCACCTGGGTCTGTTCCTAGAATTTCACTGTTTGGGTTCCCGTTCATCAGCTGGGGTGAGATCATCTTCCCAGGAATTGCCAAATAATTCAGCCCACACTATGGGCAAAACTGTGACAGGCTTAGAACACTCTTTTCAAGCCCCAATTACATGCAGGCAAATTCCACCCACAGAGCCTCTTTTAAGACAATCAGCAACACACCAATCGTTTTTATCTTACTTTGCAAGTGTCATTTAAAAATTTACATTTAAATGACTTCAAACCTGCTCCTTAAAATAGTACTATGAAAAGAAATCACCTGAGTATGATTGGTCAGTTGAAGTACTACATTATCCTTCACACTGTATGGGAACAGCAAGAGATTGATATGAAACACTTTTAAAGAGCTAATGATAGTGATGAATTTTTCACCTATTCTTGGGCAGATACTGATATAAACTCCATATAAAGTGTTTTCACTCAGTCTGAAGAGCCCCTTTTCTCTAAGATTTCTAGCATTTTCCTTTGTGTTTTATGTTTCTAAGCTACTCAGATTATTTATTAGAAATAAACAGGGTACATGTCAATATTTAACCTCTGATTTCATTCACTTAACCAACAGGCGGTGAGCGTATACTCCAGGAAAGCACTGCTTCAGTGCCCTTCTGATTCTGGGTGTGCATCCGCCTGCTCTCAGAAGTTGAGGAAGGCAGGCCCTGCCCTGTAGGGAAGGTCCAGGGGACGTCCAGTGTTCCTGACGTCATGGATGAAGTTTTAGGACATTATGGCCATAGAACTTATTGCCAAAAAATTAATCAATCGATATTAGAAAGAAAAGGAAAATTTTACTTGAGCCAAATTTGAGGATTATAACCCAGGAAGAGCGTCTCAGGAAGCTCTGAGAACTAATCAGCCTGTTAGAAGCCAAGGCACAGTTACATAAGTTTGAGACAGAGGGCTGTACATTAAATGACGTCTACAGAATTCAGATCTACGCCTCATTACAAGATCTTTTAGGGAGTTGTCTTGTTGATGCTCTTATGGCCGAGCAGGTTTTCCTGCCACTGGGGGAGGTTTGTTGGGTGAATAAGGCAGATACACAATGCACAGTGGGGACAGAGGAGGCCAAAGGGCAGAGAAATTTTTTTAAGTTCAAATTTTTCTTGTCTTGACATAAAATGTATTTTTTTATTTCATAAACTAAAACTTTATTCTCTGATCAGGGTTTTACCAGGAAGAAACATCTCTTCCAGTTAAATCCAGAATCCTTACAATAACCTACTTTACAAAACCTAGGGCTTTTCCCTGATGTCCCTCCCTTCCTACTTGCTCCCACCTCAGGGCCTCTGCCTGGAGAGCTCTTCTCCCATTTACCTCTCTTCTCATCTCTCCCAGGTCTGTATTCAGATGCGACCTTAGTGAGCATCTCCCTCCAACACACACACTCCCACGCAGCCCTTCCCTACTGCTCTGCTTTATTCTTCTCTGCAACACTTATCATCTAACATAGTATATATGTCATTTCTTTCCCTTGTTTCTTTCTCCTCTTAAACATAAAAACTCCTGCTCTTATGGAGTTTGTAACTTTACTGTGCTTTGCTCTACTTCTAGTATCCAGAACAGTGCCCAGCATGTGTTAATGTAAAAGATTACACACAAACTCAATTAAACACAGTCAGGAGGCCAGAGGGGGCGCTCTCACAGCCCGGGAGGACAGCAAAGCCCAACAGAAGGAGGAAGGCCCCTCTTCCCCAGCATGCTACCTACCGTCCTCCCAACTGCTGTCCCCTCTATAAAAGCGGTCTCCTTCCCTTGCCCTGCGATCTTCACACGTGCTACGGTTGCAGATCCTGAATACAATTCTCCACTGATCTGGAATAAACCCATCTTTGCTGGAGAAATACCCAGCAGTCCATTTATTTCAAGTCAACATTTGTTAGGTGTTCAATAAATATCTGTTAAGTTTTCTAACTTCTGTATCTATTCCTTAATTGGTCCTGCATGCACTTGGACAGGGAAGAAGAATGTTTTATTTCCTTTTCAGAACTGTAATAGTAATCATTAACTTTTAAATAAGTTTATTCTAAGCACGTAATACTCCAATGAAGAGTGCAAACTTATTTATCTGTGTTTGTAGTCTCTGGATGCTGGGCTGGAGTAAAGAATTCTTTATTCTGTCTTAGGGGCAACAGGACCTGCTTTTATGTCCTCAGACCACGAGGACAAAAACAATATCCTAAATTTTATTGTACTTATTTATTTTTTTATTTTTTTAATTTTTTAAAATTTAAGTGTAGTCAGTTTACAATGTGTTAATTTCTGGTGTACAGTATAATGTTTCAGTCATTCATATATATACATTCCTTTTATTTTTCATTATAGGTTACTATAAGATATTGAATATAGTTCCCTGTGCTATACAGTATAAACTTGTTGTTTATCTATTTTATATGTAGTTACTATCTGCAAATCTTAAACTCCCAATTTATCCCTTTCCTTTATCCTAAATATATCCTTCTCTATATCCTAAATATATCCTAAATTTTAAATGTCTATGTGATTAACCACCTGTTAGTATTAAAACTATATACATATTTTTCCCTGAGAACTAATTCTGTCAAAAACCACACTAGACCATAATCACTTTATAACACAAATAGTTTATTAATCTTTGTATTTTATTTATTCACTGGCTATCTAATCACTGAACTCATTTTTCATTTTCTAATTATCCAAATTTTGCTGAAAACTAGATGCTAATGACTATGTCATTAAAATTTTCTCAGAGGAAAATTCTGGGGCTAAGTTTATGAAATAAGTAACTAAAACATGCATTAAACTTATTCCATTTATTTTTTATTCAATAGAGTTAATTCTTTTTGACAACTTTTTTGGGGAGGGAGTGGGGGAGGTAATTAGATTTATTTATCTATTTATTTTTAGAGGAGGTACTGGGGATTGAACCCAGGACCTTGTGCATGCTAAGCATTCACTTTACCACTTGAGCTATACCCTACCCCTTATTTATTTATTTTTGTTACACTACTGATGTAGAAAAATGAAGGACTCTGAAGGCCAACCATTTGTCATACAGTGAATTAAAAATCAACTTTTGAGAAAAGTAAAGAATCAAAACAAAGGTTCAGAAGAAGAAAAAAGGGCAAAATTGAAAAAATATATATATACCTGCTGTGAAGATGGCAGCAGTTTTGATACCTTTGTCTTCATTTTGTAGGTCCTGAAGAAATGAACCAACTGTTGATAACATTGGTTTCACTACAAACTGACAGCGCTCTTTTCTGGATGGCAAAGTAAGTGTTATCAAGGGAAGACCATGTCTATAACTAACTGTGATTTCTGTTAGAAAAAAAAAGATGGTAATAGAGGAATGGATAAAACTTACTTAAAAAAATTTTACAATACAGATTCTAGAAGGAATGCCTAAATATGGAATTTATAACCCTTTGAAATCCTGTAATAATTTACATTGCTCCTATTCAGTGCCTTCATTATACTAGTTCATATATTCCCCACCATACTATAACATTTTATTACCACATATTACACTTTAATATTTTAATTATCTACTTAGAGTCTTCCCAGGTTAAAATGGATGGATGGTAGAAACTGCTTCTAATTCATCTGTAACTCCTTCGATCTTTGGGGTAGGAGTTTGCCAAAAGACACTGGAGATCTTATGGGAGCAGAAAAGGAAGGAACTGAACTCTGAGGGCAGGGGGTGGGAAGAACAACGCAAGAAAAGTCTTTTGCACAAAACACCCCTCTCACTTTATTTGGAAGAACAGAAATAGCCGAGGAATCAGTGATAAGAAAGCTTACCATCAGGTGGCACCACTGTACTATACAGATTTGATTGATAGTATTTCAGATTTCCACACAGTTTCACACACAAAATCTGTAAGAAAAAAAAGATTATTTTTTTCTTTCAGAAAAAGTAGAGAGGCTGAATGAAATAAATGTCTTTACCGGAAGCTTCTTTTAATGTTGTATGACGACGAAAATTTCAGCGTCCCACACACTCCCAGGTGAGCCCTTAGAGACGCTCACTAAACCCTTCGGTGTTGCCCCGTATGGTAGCCACGAGCCACGTGTGGCCATTTAAAGTGAAATTAAAATTAAACAACACGAAAAATTCCGTTTCTCACGGTCACCTTCGCCACATTTCAAGCGCTCAACAGCTCCGTGCCTAGTAGCTATCATGCTGGACAGCACAGGAACAGAACCGTCCGTCATCACAGAGAGCTCCACCCGGCAGCGCCGCTGGGTCTAGAACACGTGAATGGCTGCCTTACCATGGAACGTTATTTTTAGGGTTTGTAGTGGTGTTGTGTTTACAATGATCTTGGTGTGTAAGGAAGACCAAATGACACCACGGTGAGATACTGTGTGAAGAGACTGTGGTGGTAGAGAGAAAGGGAACTGAAGAACCGGTTCAGAGGCATTCAGAACTCAGAAAGAACTTGTCCCAGAGGAACTCCTACCACACTCACAACATGGTAGCTGTTTCACATTGATCCATTTTTTTTCACATCTCACCTTGCAAAAAGTTTATTAACAGTAAGTTTGCCAGTAATTATGCAATGAAAAATTCTTTTATAAATTGTATTTTTCAAGCTTTCATTTATATAAGGGTGCCCTATTAAAATAATAAATCAGTAGTTACAAATGTGTTCACTGATAAGAAAAATAAAACAAAGACACTGATTCTCATATGATGTTCCAGTATGCTCAAAATCAAAACAAGCTCATCAATAAGTGAAACAAACATTCAAATATGTATTTCTGGTATTAAACACAATAGAGGCAACTGGTTTCAACAAAATACCGCCTGTGACATTAATATAAAGTTGGTCATTTGAATTTTATTTCTAAAAATATAACTCATTACTAAAATGAGAAGGAAAAAAAGCTCATTATTTCTTAAAATAGATGATGCAACTCTCAATGAGTAAAAACACGCAGACGTTCCAAGCGCGGATGATGGCTCTTACAGCACTATGTATTACTTTTAGTGAAACTGAGAAAAACGTATCCACGTGAAAATACATCAGAACGAATTCTCTACCAAAATACTTAAAAAATATATAATGATATAAATTGTTCTCCGTGTATGAAAGTATAATTTAAACATGTAGAGGGTAACAGTTGAAGCCCCTCCCTTTTCTTCTCCACAATCGCACAACTTTCCCAGAGATAATCACCGTAGTGGTGACTCTCCTTGACCAAACTTTAGTCGGGCTCCTCTAAGCCTAACTAAACCCCGTCCCTGTGCGTGCCCTCCAGGAGCCCAGTTTTAGTAAGAATGTGGTCACGTTGGTTTAGCTAGAATCCCCCATCCTCAATATCTAATCAAATTCCTTACCCTCCACCGTTAGTCAGGTATTATCTGATCATCCCAGCATGCCTTCAACAAGAATCCTGCTAGGTCAGCTTGGCAAAGAATCACCCCATCCTTAGTCATTTCCCACCCACTGATACCCGCCCTAACTACTGCTCTTGGATATAAATCCCCACTGTTTTGTTGTCTTCAGAGGTGAGCCCAGTCTCTCTCCCCTACTGCAAACTCCCACTGTAGCAGCGCCCTTGAAAAAAGCCTACCTTACATTCCTTAATAAGTGTCAGGAGTAGTTTTTCTTGAATGGTGTGTATCCTTCCAGACTTTTCCCTACTTATTACGACCTTTACATGTGAGTTACATTTTATGCTTGAGTCTGCTAAGGACAGTTTATATAAGTCAAGTTCCTAGGTACCAATGATGGTAATTCCTGATCATAAAGTATGTATTCTTTAATGTGCTGATGAAGTCTCTGCACTACTATTGAGGAACTCATTTTAGAGGCAACCACTTGACAACTAGGACATGTTGAAAGAGGGCAGAGTGGCTGGAGAGAAATACCAGAGCTCCTCACGCTCCTGCACCTAAGAGTCAGCGGGAAATGACAATACTGTCCACTGGACAGACAGGGCTTGGTAAAACAGATTTCTTTTGCTGTACACCTGAAACTAACATTGTAAATCAACTACCCTTTTATGAAAATAAGAATTAAAAAAAAAAACCCACAGATTCCTGGACTCCACCCCCAGAGATTTTTGATCTAATAAGTCAAAGGAAGAGGTGTGAGAATCTGCATTTTTAATAAGCCCCAGGGTTATACTGAAGTTACAGGTGTAAGGACCACACTTTTGAGCAGCTGGGTTCTTCAGGACACTATTTCTAAATTTCTGCATAGAATCATTTTGAATTCCAAACTTTAGACCTGGGACAAGGGTTACTGCCTTCAAATGATACTTGGTATCAGGTCAAAAGATGACCTAGGCTTTCCTTCTATCACGTATTTTTCCTAAATACAATTCTAATCACTCCACACCCTTAAAACCCTTGAGACTTCACCAGCTTATATAAAGTAGAGAGAATAGTGAGCCCCGAGTTGAAAAGACTGGGATTCTAAACTCAGTTCAGCCATTCAACAGCAGGAGGCCACAGAGAAGTCACAGGACTGTGCTTTCGTTCTCTCAGGGGTTAGGTGGGGGTAACAACATCCATCTTGCGGAGCTGCTATAAGGTTTAACAAAACAAAGCACTAAGCAAGCCCAGGATACCATCTGTGAGCCCAGCATGCGCAGTGTGAGCCGACCCATCCTACAGCTCCATCACTTACTATTCCCTTGCAGCGGGAACTCGGGCCCCAGCCCAACCAGCGGAGTGCCACTGACCAACTAAAGTGCCTTCTTCACCCCCTTCTGCCTAACACCAAGCCCAGCTCAAATGCCACTTCCTCTTGAGGTTTTCCTGCGGGGCCAGGATCGTCCAGTGGGAAGAGCACAGGCTTTGCTGTCAGAACCAACACGGAAGCCCAGCTTCAAGATATACCAGCTACTGTAATCTTTGACAGGCAGAGGAGGGTTCGGGAAGAAATGGGTTGTGAGAAAAAGAAGGGGACAAGTTTGACAGTTAAAAAAAAAGGAAGCAGGGCTATAGTTAGAAGAGGGAAAACATTAATACAGGAAAGATCTGTTTGAGCATCAAAGGAAAAGGGAGTCAAGTGTTAGTAGAAAGGAGACGTATCATAGTCACGTTCTGGGGCCAACTGACAAGATCGGATTGCTTCTAGAGCTTTGTCACATTTTAGATTAAAAATATTAATGAAACAAAGATGTAATTTCCATTTAAGACGGTGTAAATGAACACCTACCAGACACCTCTGCTCCATGTTCAAAACCAACACATGGGTCTCCCTATACCAAAAACGAGAGAAAAACAATGTGATCAGCAAGGCTCAAGTAAGTGGAGAGTTGGCCAGGGTCCAGTTCCAGGTCCGGCAGAAAAAGCATTCAATTGAAAGTGGTGCGTCGTCTACAGCACACTTTTTCAAGTTATCACTTTCTAGCCCTGTTCACTGGTTTGTAGCCATTCTGGAACTGTCTGTAAACTGAAGGTAACTGACAGGTATATAGGCTTTGTCTAATCTGGTAGTAATCTAATTGACCCCCCCGGACCCCAAACACCATGTTTTATCTCTATCTGCAATTCAGTTTAAATTATTTTCTCCATATAAATTTGTGCTGTTTTGATTTTCCTTTTAACTGGGATATAGTATCTGCCTGGTTCCTTCATATCATGAGAGTAAAATAAGTTCTTTAATGCATGTTTATTCTTATAACTGTATGAGAATCATATTTTTACCATTTCCCCCAAATTATCTTTAAATAGTCCAGAGCAGAAGTAACAGAGTTTATTGTAAGAAATTTTAAACCATTTTTTTTGTGTGTGTTAAAATAAGTGAAAAGCTAAACAAGATTTGGTATGTTATACTCAGTGAATTCTTAGAACATGTGAAGATCCTTGTCATGTTCAGAAGGAAGACAATGATAATGAGAAACTTAAGACTTTGTTAGAAAAGTTGTAACTGAGTCTGTTTGTCAAACACTTAAAGGAAACCATTCAATCTACAGTTTCTAAAGTGGTAGAAAAAAATAGAACTTTTTCAAGGAAAGTAGAAGAATAAGCAAAAGCCCTATAGAAACTAGAAAACTTAAAAAAAAAAAGAAAGAAAGAAATATATTAAAAGCCATTGTGGAAAACTTGTTAAACAGGGAAAACAAGCATCCAGTCTCAACCTCTGACTTATTTTATGCTGGTCTTTTTGTAGATATATACGCTCATATAATCGTAAAGTTGAGAGCTGATCATTAATGTTTTATAAGCAGTGACCTAACTCATTAAAAACTTCTCATAAACAAAATAATTTCAATAGTTCCGCAGCCACTTATCCTACAGATAAAGATAAAACAGAATTTATTATTTACCTATTGCTGGACATTTCCATTATATACACTACTTTACAAAATTTTTCCTTGCATGCTCATTTTAGAAAATCTATCACAGACTCTCAAAAAGAAGATAAGTCACCAGTAGTGCCATCACCTAGAATCATCACAGTGAACACTGACGTACACCTTCCAGTTTATTTTCTACGCATATCATATTTAGTTTTTCACCATTACAACTAAATTGATTCCACACATCTTTGCACATGAATCTTTGCATTTTCTTTTCTTTAGGGTAGACTGGATCATAAAGCAGTAATAGTTTAAGGATCCTGATAATGTATTATCAAACTTCTTTGGGGAACATTTTCTTTTTTTCATATTGTTTAACAGAACCCCAAATTATTAGGAGTTTGAACCCAAATAAGCAAATCTTAAGGTTCAGAATCGAAGGATAACAGACACAGTTGGGCATCCTTGGAGCAACCAGGCTCACCACCCCCAGACAAGCTGACCAGATGTCTTCAGTGGGACAGCCCACAGGTACCTCCTGAGCTAAACTGTCTTGGTCTTCCAGGAACCTGATCTTCTCCTTCAGTCCTTGTCTTGATGGACTCACACCACTAA